AATAACCTAAAAAGAAAATTCACAACTCTTCATTGAATGATCTAAAGGAAAGTTAAATGTAGTTTCAACTCCATCCATCTTAAATCAACATAGAACCAGACATTACTGAGTAACGGTCCGAGTTGCCACACCTCATATCACCACATCAAGTAACAAGATAATTAAATGGAAGATGAAGAAAACAAAATTCTGTCAAAAGAAATATAGAAGTACGAAGTGAGCGAAGGGAAGAATGAGAAAATTGTGAGGCTCGGTATTACGTCGCTAACATGAGGATAGTGTTTGCATGCATCTGCACCACATCACCTACAGTCAGTCTCCAACTACTGCTACCTCTTGTCACACCCACCCCCAACCCCAACCGACTACTAGTCACCATCACCACACATATCTCAAACCAACAGTCAAACACTACATACATTGATGTCATGCTTCAGTCTTCTCCACCTCCAGCCTTTTTCCAGCCTCAACCACAGACTTCAACCAACAATCTATGAAGACACAGATGGAGACTACGCATACTAACACATGTCACAACCAGCAATCTCACTTCATCAACGTTCACAATTACATCAACTATCTCACCTATTCTCCATACAACTCTACGCCTCACTTCTCTGTGTGTCTTACTCATATGGTGACAACACGGAATACGGTCTATATTACCATGGCAACCGTGCTCAAACACCTCAAGTCTCCTCACATCTCCCACCTTTAATCGTCATGTTTCATAACCATACACTAGTACAAAGGCGACTACACTCCAGTACACTCGACCCTTAATAGACAATCACATGTCGTGGCGGCACAAAAGCTCGTGTATGTTGGCAAAAGTCAACCGAGACTCCTGTATTCCTGCAGAGATTTCATCGACAACTGACCCACCACAGCACGGATGAACCTGCTTCCCAGGTAAGTCAAGTAGCTAACACAACCAACCTTTACACTCTTTATTCTTAGCCAAGGCATCGTTGAAGACTAATCATGGGGCAACAGTTTGCATTTGGGTCGTGAGAAACAAATTGCTCCTCAAGGCGATCATAAGACTTTGCATTTTGTCAGTGTCTTCATCTAACAGGACTATGTCATCTGTGTATTGTAGGTCTAACGAAAATTCTCCGGCGATTACGTCAACTTCTGTGTAGTTATAGTTTAAAGTAGGTTTAAACCTATTATTAACTTCTCCATGAACAGAACTTTGAAGGATTGTGAATGCTCCCAGTGGCAGAGTACGGAGGAAGCACATAACGCTAATCAAAGCTCTCTACTCGAATTTACGCAGCCATGTCAAAGCTTATGGAGAGTTTTCATTTGAATTGACGGTAACTAGTGGTATCCGCCAGGGATGTCCACTCTCATCGTTCCTAGTTCACTTCGTTATAGAAGTACGAATGGAGATAACCCAAGGTTCGTCTGAGTTCACAGGGATCCACATACTCCCTGGAGGTCATTTAATTGATTCGGAGTAAGCAGACAATATTGTCCTGTTACCAGATAAACGTCGTGTCTAGATAAATGCACCATAGTTCCATATAAAGGGTGAATAAACGAGCGTTACTGTGATCGATTTTTAGCTGCATTGCTAAGAGATTCCAATAACTAGTATATATATCCTTGCACAACTTATATTAGCAGTCATAGACATTATGCCTAGGTGACATCATCCTTTGATCTCAAAACTACCAGCCTTCTTCCAACCTGACCCTAGTTCAGGTAACACGACATAAGTGGCGAATCCGTATGCACAAATAACCATCCCATACAACCCAGTAGGTGAACATTTACAACCTCATCAGCTGACTTTCCTTCCTAGTACGCTATGCGAAACTTCAACATTGCCCATAAGATGATTTCATAACATTTACATCATGTTATAGACAAACATGCTGTAAGCCTGTGATATGATTCCTTCCACTTGCAGTAGTACATTAAGAAAAGGTGGACGACTTATGAATAATAAACTCATTTTCATAGGCAGTCAAGTATTTCACTGAGGTTGTAGTGGCCATAATCTGGCTAGTTTCTCATGCATATTAAAATTTCGTCAGTAACATGTTTCTTTAAACTAATGTAATTTCGTATTTAGCTTAATGCATCCCCATCTTCAAACAAGGAGTAAGTTTACACCAGCTCTGAAGCATCATCTTGCACTACACAGGTGCTAAACGCATATTCAACGCTCACATTTTCCCTCCAGGTGTTGAGAAAGTACCCTCATTTTATGAGTTCTTTCAATAAATAAAACTGTACGGTATGACTGCTATGAGTCACTAAGAGGTTTTCAGATGGGAACTCAATCTCTGAAAAATCAAAATTTAGTAAAGTCATGTCTATTGATGCGCATGTACAAAAAAGAACAGAGATAATCAGACAGACAAAAAAAACTTAGAACCTTACACACAAGCGCATCGGTTCAAGTTACCACACTTCACAGTAGTATGTAAAGAACAAGGTTATAGAATAAAACTGACATCAATGTAGACAGTGGTATGTGAGACGCCGAGAGGGGATTTGAACATCAAGGTCAGTCGAAACACTTAACCTTTAGAAGACGTCATGGAGTGAATATATCAGCCCCATGGTGACCAATTTTCAGCTATTTCACCAAGAGACCTTAACCACTAGTTTCTGCAATCTTGGGGACCCAGCCAAACAGTCCACACACCCCTACACGGCTCAGATCACTAGTCAGAGATTTCATGTATTAGTACCACACCTTATTCTGGTCACCCTGAGCCTTCTTCCAATCTAATGGAGATGGTGGACCTTTTTAATTGAGACAACAGTAAATATCATCACGTTAGTAAATTTTCATAGGACTGTATAGCCTAAAGTTGACAGCTTTTACTGGCACGATGTGCTTCATCGCCATTCTTCTCAACATAAAGATTAAGTAGTAGAGATAGATAACGACAACAATTAGGTATATTATGAAGTCAGATGTCAAGGAATAACAACAAATCATCCAACTATTATCACGTAAAAGATTAAAGACTTGAAAGAAACTAGCAGCATCAAATGATATATCTTGAATGGTCTTCTGTACGTCTTACATATCAGAGTAGATTTTGTTTCCCCCAGAGAGTTTACTGGCAGACTACGTGACCTAACCAATTCATGTAAACAAGTACTGTATTTTTATTGAGTGACCTGAACATTTCTTTCTATCTAAGATCATACAGTTTCTGAATTCGAAAATTCTTTAAAAGTAAACAATCCTGCGGAGAATTTGACTGTATGAACAAATTATCACTGAAAACACTCCATAAGTCCACAGTTCAATCAAAAATCACAATTATGGTCGAATTTATATTCACGAAATTTTTAAAATGAAAATAATCGTAAAGAGATTACTTTATCCAAACAAGCTCTTCTATCAAGGAAGCTCCGAAACATGAAGAAACATCTCACTATTCAACAATGTATCATAATTATTATATATATCCTATGACAGATTATTAATCACCGAAATATGCAGTTTCACTCTATCAATATAAATGATAGTGTAGTGGATGCTACTGATAAGAATGGATATAAGTAGTATATGTTGAGAGGTTGACAGAAGTCATAGGCAGGTCCCAGTGATGGGTATTCTACCCAGAGAAATGCAAAAAACAATGTGGAGGTATGAAGAGCAAATAGAGATAGGAAAAGAATAATAAATACAACACATTGTGCAAATGGTTATTTTAATGGAAAGTGTACAATATATCATCAATACTGTACACAATGTCATAGTAAACATTCCTTCCTGAGTCTCAGTTGTTGTCGTTTCTTACAGTTGTTTATTGTTATGTCATGGTTAATTGTGAGATTTAGTAATTTATTCACATTATGCATAGATGAGCTTCATGTCAGAAAGTAATGTATAAGAAAGTAAGATCCTAATGAGTCATCGGAACAAAAAGTTCTATTTGTCTTCGATAAATTAACGAATAGATGACTCAGTCAGTCAGTCAATCAATAAGCTGGACAAAAAAACAAGAGAACGACTGTAAGGGATTTAATAAATCATGAGAATGAGATCATTTTTGCAATAACATGCTTGTCTGGGTTATATTTTTCCCCACTGATTACTATTGTTACCAAGGTTTAACAATAATCGAGCATTTAGGTTGGAATTCATCAGGGAGGAATACTGGAAACCTGAGAGCATTGGATAACTGTTTCGTCCTAGTATGGGACTCCTCAGTAGTGCGCACCCACGGTCCCGCCAGGGATAGAACCCAGGCCTTTCAGTTTCTGTGGCCAACATGTTACCATTAAGCCATTAAGTGGTTACTTGTGTTTACTCTATACAAGAGTGAATTGATGCTAGTATTTATCAGCATAACACGAAAAAAAATCAGAAAATCGAAGAGAGTATTGTTATCTAAGCGGTTAAGTGGAAAATGTGAATCATAGAAAAGTGTTATTCGTTGTATAATTTTATTTATTTTGAAAATTATTCTACTTAAGATATAATCGATAATCGATCAGTTCAAGAGCTTTTGACTGACCTATCATCCGTTATGTATGACTTATCGTTCGGAAATAATTGCATGTTGACTGAAATCCATTACTGTGTACTATCGCATATTTTTGCTTGAAATGCCTCGTTTCATCCTATACAAATCATTGGTGTGTTATAAGTCAGATTATTCAGTTGTGTATAGAGGTGAGTCACATTGCCTGAAATATACGGACAATAAGCACTAGACTTTGTGTGTTCTGTTGTAAACGCTTGCGATGGCCGGATTGCGTGACTCATCATGTGGGTGGATTGAGTATTCGAGATTGGTCAAGTATATTCAAGACCAATCACATGCAAGGTCAACCATTTAGACTGAATCGGTAGAATCGGCAAATAAAATTATAACAAGTGTACAACACCACTGCAACAGTAATAGGAAAAGAAACTATAAAAGGGTACAAAGTGATATAATCAATAATAATGACAACAAAGCATATGAACAGGTGTTAACTATAGGCTACAGATTAATAATAAGTGTTCAACTTACAAAAATCACTTGGTTTAGCTTGCGATAAATCTTTGTAGAAGTCAGTTCGATGCGCTTTTTTCAAACCTGTGCACAAACCAAAATCACTCAGTTTAATATGACCCTACAGGTGATGATGATGATGATGATGCACATGCATAAATTTATCCATATTTATTGCATATATAGTATTCGATATGCATAACGATAATATGGTCCCGTGAGGTATAGGATATATGATAGGAGAGAAAAAGAAAACAGGGGAAAAAGAGAACATGTTAGGCCATTCAAAAAAGAGCAAAAGAAAAACACAGAAAAAACAGAAACAGAAACAAAAAAACACAGAAAAACAGAAAGTGAACTGCAGAAATCAGATAGACACTTGTGTTCATACATACATTCTCTTTAATATCACACATTTCAACAAAGCATTGTGTCGGTAATAAGAAGACCAGTTAACAAATAGATGGCTACTTAATGCTTGTTAGACAAGCCAAAATAGTGTTTTTTTCTTGCCAATAACCGCAGACAAATTCATTCCATCTACTAAACTTCATCATAGACATTTAATTCTCAATCAATCGATTCAGACAAACGAGAAAATCCATCCATATAGTTACAACTTATCACTTAATACAAGAACCTCTCCAACTGTAACGAACTAAAAATCACTGCTACATTGATTGTTCACTGGAGAACAACCCAGTCTCATGTTGTCTGGTCCTGACTGTTGACTGAATTCTGTCAATCATTTTGTAATATGTCCATCAAGCTATGAAGCGTACTATCACTTATTGGTCACATTGCAACCTCGAGAGAAGTGATATCTCTTCTGAGGTTAGAACCCAAATCACCCATTGTTGTAGTTAGCGTCGTTACCACTGAACTACTTAGGCAGCAATTGACTGGATTGGTCGCTGTCAAATAGTGGGTGCTGCTTGAATTCTACTGACGATAAAGAGTGTCAACAACAATCAAACCTAGTTCAAACACAACTTCCTACAGATTGTTTTCAATCAACTAACATAAAAGTCAGTGGTTTCAATATTTCTCTTGATAATGGATTAACTAGCGATTGGTTCATCAATATATTCATATTCTCAACTTATTTTATATATATAACACACATTTATTAAGCATGAGAACTGAATTTCATCACGGACATACAATGGATACTACTTACATATAATGAAACGTACTAATACATGCAAAAGGTAACGATCCTCTTCGCATTCTTACAAACAATCAAACAAAGGAGTGTACATATATATATAAAGAGTATATGTAATGCATAGAAAATGTACACGCAGTTGTCAGGTCAAGTTTAATAAGTGAACAGGTCATTTCAAAATGACCTTATTTTATGATAATGTTTAAAACGATAAACTTATTGAATATATCTTTTTCAATTCTTTGTTTACTATTAACTTGATGAACAATACAGATTTATGAAAGATAACATTTACAAGATTCCGACTGCACCTTAATAAACAAGTACTAGAGAATTGTTATTTCCATAGGTACCAGTAAATCGATTCATTGAGTTAAAATGATTTGATCACAGATGAGTTTGTAGCATTACTCGTGTTTGTTGGAATCATATCGGGGTCAAACGAAAAGCTTTTTTATTTGTCCCATGGGTTCATAGTGGAACATAGGGCTTCAGTAGCATGTCACCATTTCAATCTCTTATCTGCAGTCTTTACAACATGCTTCCACGACTGCCCACAAGCTTTCATTTCTTCACCACACCATCTTATCCATACCCTCAGCTGAGATGCCCAAATCGTCGTTTATCATTTCAGTTCATCTCGAAAGCCTGACGCCTGATATACCCAAATGCTCTTCTCAAGCTATATCCACTCCAATCCATTTCCACTTTCTTCTCCTGCATATTTGTTGGGAGACAGGTTGTTGGTTTGTTCGTTGCCAGACAGACAGCCAGCCAGCCAGCCAGCCAGAGTGATTTCCCAGTTGCTCGTTCTTTCTGGCCATCCATCTGATCTTCAGTGTCAGTATAGATTGAGCGTAGGTGGCAGCTGTTGATGTTTGATGTCTGTGGTTTGTTGGAAATGCTCTTTGTAACGCGACAAGTCTCTCAACCATCACATAGAAGTACTGACTTACTAGACTGACTTAGTGTTGAAAATCCGGATGTTGTTCACTCTTTATGCTGAGTGCAGTACAACGTGGCGCAGTGGATCTCTACATTGATTTCAGATTAAGTGCTTTGAAGTTTCTTTAGCGATTGGATTGATTTTCCGGGGTAGGGTGGCTAGCCCCACGCCTAACCTTACCTCTTTATCCGGGCTTGGGACCGCCTAGTAAACTAGGCGAGACGAAAGGTACTGGGGAAGATACGCAAGTCACTTGATGAGGTTGTGAATCTTCAGCGACTGAATTAGCTTAGACCTATGTTGCCCATGTTAAATCACCGCCAACCTCGAAGTCCCATGCTAGGCGAAGTTGGACTAGGTTATTACAAGGCACTAATACATGAAGTCTAAGGTGATTTTATTTGTCTATCTGTTAGAGCTTCATGGTCACAGTAGGCTAGACAGTTTTGCTCATAACTCATCCTTCGTTTCATTCAAACGACACTTAGTGGGTGCGTAAGGAAAGATTATATACATACAATGGCCATTTTCCTTTTTCTCTTCACTTTAGAGTTCAGTCGAACACTGTCTAGCCTACTTTCAGATCCATTCGAGCAGTGCATTTTCTACCTCAGCATTTAGTGCTATACTAACAAGACTATGAGAAGTAGCCATCGAATCATCAGACAATCAAATAACGAACTTCGTAGATTCACTATATTGGTAGGATGAGGGGTTACGTAAATAACCCCACTAAAGTTCTCTATGCGTGTCTCATAAGTACAGCATAAACTAATTGCCCAAACAGGCTAGAGTGTTGCCATGTGAAACCTTTCCAAGATGACCGCGAGTGCAGGTATAACGGCAAATGCCTTTTGTGTTACCACCACCATTCAACAGACCTATCTGGTATGACAGAACCCAAAGGATTAAATGTTCCGAACAGTATAGCACAATGGGTCCCTGTGAGATGCACGGCGAACCACTACGTCAAGACAGCAGCCTATCAGTCAGGGTTCCGGGTTCATTGACGAAATGTATGAGTCTGAATATCTTATCAGTAAGTTCGTTTTGGTTAAAATATGAAAACATATATCAGCAGTTCTGCAGTTTAGCATCCACTCCCCCGGTTTAGAGGATCATAAACGTTGAACTGTGATATTAAAAAACATTACCAACCTTTGCATCAAGTAATAAATTATCCGGTTTGATATCACGATGAATGAAACCCATTTTATGAATTGAATCAATGGCCAAAACAGTTTCTGCTATATAAAATTGTGTTTGAGACTCTGTTAGAGTATCCCGTTTCATTAATAAGGTCATCATATCACCTATATAAAATGAAGACAAAACAAATAAAAGAGAAAAGATTGAAAAGTAAACTAAATATCATGATAAGTTTTATTTAGTAATAAATAATTATGCTTTTAAATTCCATATGGATACTGTTTTACTTAAGCTGTTGTAACACTACTCATAAGACAGTAAAAATGAAAAATTTGTTGAAGTTTTGACTGATTTTTCTTGTGAATGATTATTTATTGTAAAATACAAATATGGGAAACCATTGGAAACACTGGTTAACTGTTTCGTCTTAATATGAGACTCCTCAGCAGTATGCACCCACAATCCTAGCAGGTACTGAACCAACGATCTTCAGGTCTCTCAGTGAACGTGTACCTTATTCCAACTACACTTATCACCTAACATCAAGCTTATTTACCGTGGATTTTTCAAAACAAAGGCTTTCTATATTGCTGAAAAATTTTTCGATACCCTTAAAAACAGAATGCATTCATTAACTTACCTGTTGTGAGGAACCGATACCTTGATGTATTTATCCATCCAAATCAACATAGAACCAGACATTACTTAGTAACGGTCCGAGTTGCCACACCTCATATCACCACATCAAGTAACAAGATAATTAAATGGAAGATGAAGAAAACAAAATTCTGTCAAAAGAAATATAGAAGTACGAAGTGAGGGAAGGGAAGAATGGGAAAATTGTGAGGCTCGGTATAATGTCGCTAACATGAGTATAGTGTTTACATGCATCTGCACCACATCACCTACAGTCACTCTACAACCACTGCTTCCTCTTGTCACACATCCCCCAACCCCAACCGACTACTAGTCACCATCACCCCACATATCTCAAACCAACAGTCAAACACTACATACATTGATGTCATGCTTCAGTCTTCTCCACCTCCAGCCTTTCTCCAGACTCAACCATATACTTCAACCAACAATCTATGAAGACACAGATGGAGACTACGCATACTAACACATGTCACAACCAGCAATCTCACTTCATCAACGTTCACAATTACATCAACTATCTCACCTATTCTCCATACAACTCTACGCCTCACTTCTCTGTGTCTTACTCATATGGTGACAACACGGAATACGGACTATATTACCAAGGCAACCGTGCTCAAACAACTCAAGTCTCCTCACATCTCCCACCTTTAATCGTCATGTTTCACAACCATACACTAGTACAAAGGCGACTACACTCCAGTACACTCAACCCTTAATAGATAATCACATGTCGTGGCGGCACAAAAGCTCGTGTATGTTGGCAAAAGTCAACCGAGACTCCTGTATTCCTGCAGAGATTTCATCGACAACTGACCCACCACAGCACGGATGAACCTGCTTCCCAGGTAAGTCAAGTGGCTAACACAACCAACCTTTACACTCTTTATTCTTAGCCAAGGCATCGTTGAAGACTAATCATGGGGCAACAGTTTGCATTTGGGTCGTGAGAAACAAATTGCTCCTCAAGGCGATCATAAGACTCTGCATTTTGTCAGTGTCTTCATCTAACAGGACTATGTCATCTCCGGAGATTAGATCAACTTCTGTGTAGTCAGGTGACGAGAGGAAGACCTCAATAAGAATATATATGATAAAATTGAATAAAAACGGAGAGAGAGAGAGAGAGAGAGAGAGACCACGATGCCTTAATGATCAATGAGCAAATGATCGCATTCAATAATTATATGCATTTTTATGCACTAAGGTAAGAAACAAACCTGTTGTGTGAAGGATAAAAAAATTCTGGTTGAGTAGATGGAGATATTTTCGAACTCATTACTTAGAAATCCATGATTGAAATCAATCAGCCTCAACCTCACCATCACTTGGAGAAGTTGTTGAATCCTGATTCCAAACTAGTAGTGTACACAGACAGCAGGATCTAGAATAAAAATATGGTGTACGAATCTACTTTGGTAGTTGTTAACCATGGAAAGGCAACATCTGACGCTGCTTCATTTGTTGGTTTGTGAACCAAACTTGGAGTGAAACGCTCGGGTGCATGCGGAGTATTATAATTCTGATATACACCATGTAGCAACATTTAAAATGAAGACTTCAGAGCGTTTATCAAATTCCCGTTTATCCATATCATAAATATATCCCTTTTAATGTCTTCATATCATGTTAAGTGGCCTTTTTTTGGTGCCGGTTAGGTGTCAAGTTTATGTCTTAAATAGCAAAAACCAGTTTATTACCTTCACCTACCAAATATCTTTTTTAATTGCTCTCTTATACATTGGATAATGGTAGTACGTATATACCGTAGGTGTCCTGAAAAACTCATATCAGTTCATGATGAATATCAACTTGAAATCGATCAATAAATCCCCCATAAACCCCTTAATTAAACTAATCTAGTGCTCACCAACGACTAGCTTCAAGAGGTGATTCCTGAAATTTCAATAAAAAGTCGTGACCAGTGAAGCAAACCTGGTTGCCCTGAGGATAACTACTCAACGATGACATTGGGTGATGGTTGAGATATGTCGTAAACTGACAGAAGTTTGATATATGTTCCATTCGATTTCGACCCAATGACTCAATGGTAACATGCTGGTTACAGATCTGAAAAATGCTTTATCGTATAGACCCTTAAGAAATTCATCATCAATGATCTTTCAGTATTGTGAATTTTCGCTTACGCTAAACAGTCTCAAGTGTATGTTTCTTGATAAAAATAGGTTAAAGAATTCTTGAAAAAAACTAGCAATAACTCCACAATAAACTGTGTCTACCTGGATCAAGTTTAAAAGATTGTGTCGGGTTTTCATAGTTACACTCGTTATTTTAACTATATATACAATTCACTACTATAGACTATTTGAACACATGAGAAACTGTAGATGAGCAATAATACGAGTGGTTCTATATTAGATTTGTTTACTTCATTTATAGCACATAGTGATAAGGTGGTTTGAATATTACCGTCTAAAGAAAACCGACACACTCCAACAGGCATCTAAACTTCAAATCGTCTCATCCAGTGTCAGATAAGGCAGGTTTAGTCATATGTCTAAATGATAGAGCTAAAAAACTGACTAGTCAGTGAAACGATCTAAACAAGGAACTGAAACACGCAAAGGAAGCGCTAATAATTAATAATCATCCTTTGCCTTTTATTAAGAAATTCGTACGAACACATAGGAAACGAAATCATTACAATAACACCAGGACGAATAATAACGAAAACACGAGTAGGAGGGAGTTCAAAGCCTCCATTGTAGAACATCAAAAACTTTACGTAGGATCCTCAACAAAACTGGGTTTAGGATGCCATTTAAACCCACAAACTCACTCAGAGATAGGCTTTGTCGGCTTAAAGATCGGATAGAACCAATTCAGCAAAATAACTTTATTTATCAAATCCCATGTCATAACTGTGATGTGAAGTACACAGGTCAGTCAGGATCAGTTAGAATAGCCGAACATAGGAATTCAGTTAAATATAGAATGACAGACCAGAATAATATCAGTAATCTAGAAGAACACTCGGCTATTGCAATACATGCATTAACACACAACCACATAATAAGGTGTGATAAAACCAAAGTACTAAAGTCTAATATAATTAGGTGGAGAGATTGATTACTAAGTCTTTCTTCATAGAATCAACCCCACCCAACACATGTAATAGGAATGAAGTAACACTTATGCGAGAGATATAGAAAACTTTACTACCAATAAAGACAAAGAACATGAGGTGATAGGACTATAAAAATCAGATGTCGAATGTAGTGTGCTTACGTTGATACGATTATGAGCGATTTTAACTGATGCTGGTAACGTCATCAAGTAAATAATACTAGATCACTGTGTGCAATAAATCAAATAAACAAATCTAATATGGAATTACATCAGACCACAGTACCCACGTCTTACACATATATTAATAATACTACTGATCTTTTAAATAACCAGTCTAGAGGTTGACTGTTAATTAATTATGAATGAAGCTTGCCATGCAGACTAATTTCAGTTCCATCAAGATATAGGTGTAAAAAGCAACAAGGGTTTATAAGGAAGAAGCATATACTGGACAAAAAGAGATCTTTTTAAAGCACCTTTTATCAGTATTATTGCTTGTATTATACCGCCGTTGATTGGACAGGTACATCCGGCCAACGAGTCCGAAATAGGACGAAATTCGCATCCTGGATTCCACTGCTAGGAAATATCCATCAACTTTTATTACATAAAATTATCCCACTCCAGTCAGCCTAGTAAACATATTATGTTAGGCATCTCAGGATGTAACGTAAACCCCTAGGCGATAAGAAAAACTCCCACTTCAACGACCAACCAACCATCACCAAAAATGTTGATTGCATAGGGAGTCAATTCATAAAGTTTTTGCTAGACCGCGACAGAGTTGACTAGTTCAAAATATATCCAACATGGAGGTGTATAGGGATTTATCTACTGGTTTCACCAGCTGACAGTTGGAGAATCATTGGTCATTGGTACACCACTGCTGAGGAGTCCCATACTAGGACGAAACAGATGTCTCCAGGTTTCAAATGATTTTCTAACTGATCCAAGTTGGCGACAAATACCAACCTAAAATCAACGAATTTTATTTTCTTGCAAATATTAGACAGGAGATGATTACAAACTTTAGTTATGTCAGTGTCGTAGGTGGTGTTATCACCTAGAAAATGTTTCGAATGCACAACTACAGTCTGAATCAGTCCTATTATATAAAGCATACAAAACTGAGAATAAAATAGTCTCAATCACATCTTCCTTTGTCATATAACACTTTAAATACTGTGGTTAGTAACTTGTAAATCACATACATGAATAACAATTGTCTTATCAACACTTTCTAACGTCATTCATTGTAAGACATTACACATTACTATTTGATATGCGTACCACACACACACACACACACACACACACACAACAGAACACACATTCGAATATGAATAGTGTACTATTCAACCTGAAGTGGCATATACATATGTGGAATATTAAATTCATTTGCGTCAAGTCTGTA